TTATTTGTATGTTTGAAAAAGAACGCAAAAAAGGCCAACTTCTAGTTAAAAAAAAAGTTTTGCAAAAAACTGCGAAATTGAGCACACAAATCAAAATGAGCAGCATAAAGTCCGTTAAAAATCAATTGGTGTTTCAGCTTCCTAGCTTAGCGGTTCCCAAGTCAGAGATTTTCCTGCCAAAATATTTGTGTGAGAACCAGACATGCTTTGGAATTGAATTTGAAAAGTTTAAGTTTTACTTGGGCAGGGAATTTCCCCTTAAAATTTGGGTTTCCCGGCTTTTCTAGTCCCCGAGTTAACAATTTTCTCGTCAAAAATTGCACTTTTCCGCACGTTTTTCCTGGCTTTCTCTGTTTTTTTTCTTCGTTCATTAAGCCGGCTTTCTCACTTTTAGACTGGCTCACAGTTATTTCTGCTGGAACCGTCAGGCCTGTGTTACGAATACAAGGCATGGGCAATCGGCAAGCATCGACAAGCGGCCAAAACAGAAATCGAAAAGCTAAAATTTGATGAAATGCCAATGGAGCAGCTCGTTAAAGGTATGTGTAATCGGTTTTCAATCGAAATTTAGCGAAATGCAGAAGGCACAGAGATTTTTATTATGACACCATGCATCACTGAAATCCTTCGGGGTATGCATACAGTTTGATTTTCTAGCTGTGCATTTTATAGGTTTGTCGCTTTGATGCATTCGTCAAGTGCTAGATGCAGTCATAGGCTTTATTAAGTTATTTTTTTGCTGAAAGTGTTCCAGATTGATGAAATATTTAAAAGTTAGATATGTTTTAAAATGCACCGAACACTCCTTTTATTTTTTTCAGAAGCAGTGCGAATAATTTTGACGGTGCGAGATGAAGCAAAAGATAAAAATATGCAAGTGGAAATGGGATGGGTTGGTAAAAACACCGATGGAAAGCACCAAAGTGTGCCTAGGGATGTGAGTTTTTTGTGCACTTTTTTGTTACAACAGTGCCACAAAACACGGAATTTTCGTGCGCGCTGCTATATTTATTGTTTTTGAAAAAGATATTTTTCATAAGTTTGCACTTGGCGCATCACATTGCGTAGAAGCTGTGAAATGATGATTTAATTTGTCATAGCTTAGCTGCTAGTATGATAAGTTGGATTAAATTCACGATGAGCGGCTCGGGCTACGAAATTAGCTTTCCAACAGTAGAAAAATCAGCCTTCCAATTCACCTAGCAGATTTCGGTGATAAATTAATATTGACATGCCTAGTATGGCGAGGAACTGATCTCATTTCATTGTCATATTCT